GGGTATAAGGGAGGGCTGAATCGTGACAACATCACGTACAAGAACTTTGCAGCCCAATGCTCGAAATTCGCAAGTAGCACCATTCAAAGGAGGCTTAAAGGGTAGACTGATGTAATCTTACGTGTTGACCATCTGAAACGGACGATAACATTTTGCTATCACTTTCCTGACAATTTACATCTCATTCACCTCATTTATGACTTCTTTTTCTTGGTCTTTTTTCATTGGTATATTCTTGTTTCTCGTTGCTCAGGTCCTGGAGTTTTAGTGAAGAGAATTTCTTTCATTCATAATTTTGTCTTCTGCAGGAAAGATAAATTTTAATTTGGTTTCTTGGCGACAGACCTGTTGTTTAAAACATCATGAATTTTACTGGAAATCAGCTTGGTATTTGGTTTAGAAAATGGTTCCAAGAACATGAGGATAAGTTTGATATGATTCAGAAACATATCTGTTCGTTAATGCTATTACTGGTTTCTGGATCTCTATGATTTTTGGGGTTTGTGTAGCTATCAACTGTACGGTCGTACGGTCCTGACTGGCATTGTGTTAATTTTTTGGTTCATTTTTATTTAGCCATGGTGAACCATGTATCCTCCTCGAAAGGTATATTTTAAAACTTGTGGTATATATAGAAGCGCCGGGAACCATTGTCATTTTCAGCTCCGTGTACAAAAATGCATTCTTTATTTATATTCGGTTTAGATAAAACTGACTTAGTTTATTCTGTCACTTGGTTTTATTGCGATTCTTTAAGTGCTGGGAAGTAGAAAACGAAGTATGCTACTTAGTGAATTGTTTATTCATTTGTTATTCTAGAGTATTTTTACTGCAGTGCAAGGGTTTTGAAGGTGAGAGATACAAGTTCTTGTGCAGTAAGCTTTATCAGATTGGAGTGAAGAGAGGATAACTATTTCTAAGGCTCGTTAAAATGCATTTGTTACAGGAGGTATTTAAATTTTGATCGTGGATACTGTAGTGATTTGCAAATTTTTCAGTTAAGAATTTTGAATTAAAAACTGAAATTGACGAGGAGTTTTTTTAATTCTTGGTTATGAGCAGTTTGCGCATGCCTTTAAATGTAGGAATAGCATACCAGTTAGCTATCGGATGGAAAGTGTGGGGATGATCGTAAAGTAAAAGAAACGTCTATTTGCCTGTCATCGGAAAAAGCTTGTTTTTTTTTCACTTTTAGATAGGTTTTTTGACAGTTTTATAGAGAATGTGTGATTTGACTTGTGTTTTGGAAAATATCAGGAATTGAGAAAGTAATTTATCTTTCAATAATTTTCATTTTTCGGATGATTTTAGAGCGAAAAAGAACTTATAATCTGCTTTTTAACGCCTAGCAATTGTAACAGCAACAGAGGAAATATTTTTCTTCACAAGGGAAAAAATTTAGCAAAGTGTGAACACGGTGCCGTCTACGTTCTTGTACAGTGTGTGTATGCGGTACCTCTGCAGGGTGGGAGGGGGTCCTAAAGGCAACAGTGCTTTGTTTAAATTGTGTCTAAACTTATAGTTGGAACCAGGTTATTAGGGTACCTGACGATTTAATTCTGTTGAATAACAAAAGTTATATTTCGTTCTTGGAAGAGTACACCTTTCAGCATCGCTCAGTGAGGTTTTGTGATTTCTTTTGCTGAAGTACAGTTTTTTAATATCTGCTGGGGCAAGATGAAAACTGTTATGAAGACCTGAGGAGACTGCGCTTTTCGATAACAAATCAAGAGTAATGTTATCTTATAAAGGTAAAGTAAGGAAGGAAATTATGTTGTCGGCAAAATTTTGACCTTTCGTGTGGAAATTTACTCAGGTTCCAAAGTAGTTTACGACAGTGCTTTATACTCGTATGATAAATTTGTTTGAATTTTGCCTATGTAATTTAGACATCTGTACGTAGAAGAACAGTACTTTTGATATTGTTAGTATGGCTGGCAATCAAATGTACTGGTTATTTTTGCTGTTCTGATTTTAGTTTTGCGGCGACTTTTTCATTTCATACAGGCTCCTTTGTGGGGTTGTATTTGGTCGTTAAGTTCTCAGGGAAGCTGCTAATCGGCACTTTCATCAAGTAGGGAGGGCACTTCTTTTTAATGTTGATCATTTGTTAAGTTTTTAAACGGTCGTGCAATGTGTTGGATTTCTTCAGGTAATGAAACGTTTATTTACGACAGCAAGACTTGTATACGCTTGTCAAAGGCAGCGAAATGTTTGGTCACTTTCGACGGGTCAGCAAGCGATTAGTTATTTACCCCATCAATCAAACATTAATGAGCAGGTGAAGTTTTATGTCAAAGGTTCCTAGGATAAGTCTGCAGTTTTTTCAATAGTGTAAAGTTGATATTTTTTTGGTATCTAAGACAGTACTTAATGGTAATTTGAAGTTACAAAGACTATTTAATTATTATGGCTATGTTTAGCATTTGTTCTATGACTCCCCTAAGTCGACTGCGTCGCGTTTAAGGTTTTATAGTTCTGACATTCCAAGGAGGAACTTCCTTGGTAATCTCATGGAAAAAATTAAAGAGGAATTTGAAAGGAATAAGGAATTGCAGGTAATTCTTTTATTGGGGAAACGTTTTACATCTGCTAGATAATTACCAGATATGAATGGATTTTTTATTTTGCTATCGTAGGTCGTTTAAAAACTGTTCGGTTTTGTAGGAGAATAAGAAGGAGTTGGATAGACGTTTGAAGGAATTAAATGACAGTGAAGCCTTGAAAGATGCGCGTAAAAAATTTGTACGTTTTTAAAATAAGGGAAACTCATTTGACAGGCATCATTTTTACATTTTACGTTATCGATCATGGAGTTTATTTTTTTTTAAAATAAATGTGCCACTGTTTTCAGGAAATTGTTGAGAAAGAAACGTTGAAAAGTACAGAAGTTATTCAAGCCAAATTGACTGAGGCGAAGGAAGCAATTTCAAAGGTATTTTTAGTGCGCTACGGAAGGTTTTTGATTGATGTTTATGGTATTTAGATGATAGCCGAAATTCAAAAGACTGAGGCGGGCAAGAAATTGTCGGCAGCAGCAGAAGAGGCTCTTAAACAAGCAAGAGTTGCGGCAGAAACAATTGAGCGGGCTGCGGAGCAAATTGGAGATACGCAGGTCTACCAAACCGTTAGCTCTGTAAGTTTTAAAGGTTAAATTCTTATAATCATCGTAGTAGCTTATCTCGAAATCAATATCTTTGATGTTATGAGAAAGCACATTGTTGACGCTTTGCTATTATGCTTATTGACCTCACGACTTTCCTTATAGAATTGGGCATCTTTATCAAGCAGGTTAGAAGCCCAAAAGATTTTGTTTGATTAGTGTAAAGGTAGTTGTTTATTGAGAAAACTCTTTGCAGTAATTTTTTTCTCACTATGATAAGATTCACTTAGTGAGCTTTTTTTTAGTCTATGAAAGTTGTTAAAGATGAAATTGACAACATTGTCGATGTCCGAATGTATTCACGCCCTGGTTTGTTTAATATGTTACCGAACTTTTCCCTTCCAGTTGTTTGTGTAATGAGTTTGTGCAGTATGTGTGTTTCTAGAACAACTGAAAATGAGGACTCATTCTTATTCGACGAGTAGCTTCGACGGTCGGACTGTTGAAGCTAACCCGTGAGTTTTTTTTTAACATGTGTTTTTCCGATTCATTTATCCACGAAACTTTATCAGGGATGTCTCATTCGTACTTTATTCTTGTCATATTTTAAATCGAATTCATAGTCATGTTTCTCTCTTTAAAAGAATTATGGGGTTATTCTTTTATTTGAATGACCAGTGTTTCTAAAGCTGGTGCTTTTAGCGATGCATCTGATATTCAGCTTCACAAAGAGTCAAGGTGGAACGCTGCTTGGAAAGAATTTTCAGAAAAAAACGTTTATTTTAATAGTAAGTTAATACGAGTGCAGAATGTTTGATTTTTTTTGTGTTTTCTCATTTCACTTGGTTTTTACTCATCAGAGTCTCAATTCCTTCTGGTGTATATATTTTTAAAGCGAGGAAAGTTAGTCATTCATATGGTTTTTTCTCTACCTTTTTTTATAAATTGTAGATTTGAGACCTCAAATAGGTTAACATTTGTTTTATAAAGAACTTTTTGATTTCTAGAGCTTTTGGATTGGAAAATTCGTTATGATGAAAGTGAGAATGTAGCAATTCGCTTAATGCGAGGAGTCACTGACCGCATAGCATCCGTATTTTGTAAGTGTGATTTTCGCGTATTAAAGAATGGCGTTACTTTTGTTCTACATGTGTTTTTCTCTTTTAAGACATTCCTTTTTCAATTTAACGCCAAGGTGTTTAAGTAGTCTACATCTGAAATATTTTTTTCTTCTATGCTTCAAAAATACTCATTTTCAGCACCAAGAAATGAGGTTGCTGAAGTACTCACAGAAATTGCTAAAGTTGATCCTACTTTCGAGAAATCGGAGTGGTTGCGGTTTTGCGAGAAGGAAGTGATTCCTAATATTCTTGAGGCTTTTATTCGTGAAGACCTGGAAGTTCTACAGGACTGGTGTCACGAAAGGGTTTGTCTTTATAATGTGGGAGTTGTATTCTGAATTATGAGTCGCTTGTTTTCTGGTTAAGTTACTATTACTTTAGGCATTTAACCAGTTATCAGTTGTTGTAAAAGAATATAAGAAGATTGGCTTTACTACGAAAGATTCACGTGTTATCGATATAAGCAAAGTAGAGGCAAGGTTTTTCTGAGCTTCCGGTTTTATTATGGTACTAGTAATCCGTTGAAGTTTTGAAGCAGAACAAATTGCTTTTTCAGCGTAATTCTGCTTTTTCGTACCCTTGTTTGTTTTGAACCAGTGTGTGTTATTTTTTTCTAACTCACCTTCCCAGATTTCTGTGAAAGTACTGCATGTTAAGATGGTATCCGGTAAAATGATGGAGCAAGGACCTGTGATTATCATCACGTTCCAAGCATTTATGGTTAATGTCGTCAAAAATCAGGAAGGAAAGGTTGTTGAGGGGAATCCAGTATGTCTTTTCGCTAAAATTTGTTTATTAGTCACCGTTTTTTGTCCAGGTAAAGGTGAAATAAAAGGCCCATATTATGTTTAATTTTTTT